AGATACAATAATGAAAGGTATGGGAATAGAATATAAAATCATGAAAAAAACAATACATTTCAGATATGATTTACTAAACAAAATAGAAAGAGAGAGAGATCATAATGAGAAAGTATTGATCTGGTATAAGGGAAAGTGAAAGTTGGGAAAAGATGTATATAAAGTTAAAGGAATAATAATTCTTTATTCATACCAAGTGAGTAATAGTGTCTTAGCTAAAAATCAAACTTTTTTTAGCCATTATTTTTGTATTAGAAGAGAGGAGAAAATTAAGAGTAAGTACAGAGAAGCTAGAAATGCAGTTTGAAGAGTTATATAGGAGAGGGGCTCACATGAACGATCTCCTGAGTCCTAAGCAGTGACCTGTTTAACCAATGTAGGGCATACCACATTTTACAGATCACACAATATATAATTTTTTTTCACCAAATATATGTGATTGCCTGTTGTATTTGTAATTTTCCATTGGTATGTTGTAGTATTAAGATATTGGCAGTTGGTGCATTTTTTTCTGTAGCAACAAGATGTACCTGAGTTGGGACTGGGGGTTGGTTTCTATATGATACTGTGTCCAAAATGTTGCTGATGATTTTATCATGTATGTATAAGAAGAGTGGATTTTCTTTTAAAATTATGAATTTATGAGGTCATCAATTAAGATACTGAAGTTTTGTTTGATCTGGGAAACTTTAATGATATTACGATGATAAGTGCTACTGTCCGAAATGTTTTCATATTTGTCAATGATCTTATTTTAATTTGGCAAGTGACTCATCTTGTTTCTTTCCTTTTAGAATTAAACATTGCATATTATGAAAGGGATCTTGGTGTAATAGTTGATCAGTCTCTAAAGCCATCCAAACAGTGGTAGGGCAAATAGGATTTTAGGTTGTATCTACAAAAATATTGAATACAAGTCTAAAGAAGTTAAATTTCATTGTATATGTCACTGGTTAGGCTACATTTGGAATATTGTGTTCAGTCTTGGGCTCCTTACCTAAGAAAAGACACCGAGTTGTTGGAAAGGGTTCAGAGAAGGGTTACTAGAATGGTACCTGGAATAGAGGGGTTGCCATACGAAGAGAGGTTGAAATATCTCAAATTGTTTTTTCTTGAAAAAAGAAGATTTTGGGGGATCTGGTTGAGGTGTTTAAAATTGTAAAAGGAATTGATAGTGTTCATGCATCATCTTTTTTCATACTTAACAGTGAGAATAATAGGACTAGGAGACGGAAAGATAAATTTGGGCAGGGTTGGAGTTATCTTCAGCTAAGACGATTTTATTTTTCTAACATGGTGTTTGGCCTGTGGAATGGGTTGCCTTTGGATGTTGTGGAGGCAGTAACTTTAAATTAGTTTAAGAAAAAGCTTGATAAATATATGAATGATAAGGGCTGGCTTTAAGATTTTGTAATATATATTAGTAGTTTTAATAGATTAAAGGATGGAATAGCCGAGATGTACCAATAGGTCCTATTTTGTCACAAAATGGTATGTTATGTTATTATATGTACCATTTTAAATGTTTATGACAGAGGTCTTGAATACAGGGAATGAAGCACTAAAATTGCATTTGAAAAGTAGATGCAACGCTATATAACCTTTAAAAATAACTGAAACAATTGCTTTTCTCTAATTTATGTTTTATATCAGTTTTACTGAACTGCTTTTCATTTCAGGTACACACTTGTCATTACTTTTTATTTGATGTACTTAAGCCACAGACTGCAAAGTTACTTGGAGTTGATTTAAGAAGTTTATTTTCCTCATCATTAAAGTGAAATAATTGAATCTCTTCTTTAGTTTACTTATTATAATAGAGTAACAATATGTTATAGATAGGCCACAGACTTACAAAAGGAAAAGACGGATGTTTATTCAACAAATCTCATGCCTTGATCTATATTTTGTCATAAGCTTTATTTATAATATTCTGTTTGAGTGGTTTATAAATTATGTATTGTAATAATTGTACTCGGAATCTAAGCCCTTTTGTTTCCTACAGCTAAGATTATAATCTTCTACATCATCTACTATGCGTGCTTAGTAGCATTTTGGACTGTAATGTTGCTGGTATTTTATGTTACTGTGGACTCCAATCATCCAAAGTGGAAGCTTGATTCAAGCAAAATTGGGAGTAGCCCAGGTATACCGTTTTTATCTTCAATACACCATAAGAGTAGTTTTCTAATTACTATTATTGTTGAAAAATACATGCATAAGTTTTTTGGGAAAAATATTTTTCAATGTGAAAGTTTAAATTATTTTGGCATTTTCATTTGTATGTACAATTAAATGTTATGTTATGTACCATTAGTTATAAAAAAATTTCTATATGTATTAGATCGTCAAGAAATTAATGTCGCTTGTTTTAGATGAAAAACCCGAGCAACTTGTATATCAAAACAAAACATTTATTAAATGAAATA